CCTAGTTTCATGCCTAAGCCTGAAAAAGAATGAGAGATGGATCGTTGAAATAGAGCTAACTTGATGGACTGAACAATTTTTGAATTTTTTTAATAGGTGTGTTTAAGGTATAAGTTTAAAATGTAATAAATATATTTTTTATTTTAAATTTATGTTAAAAATAAAAATTAATCTTTAATTTATCAACCTTCTAATTAATTTCATCTAGTAGGTAATGATATTAAAATTAATTTCAACTTCTACATTTCTTTATATATATTTATGATAAAAAGATATATTTAACATATACCTTTAGAAAACCTCTTAACTTTTTTAGAATATTGCAATAACATGGTACATGGTACTTCGGTCTAGGGATGGAAATTTCTTCCACAATTCACAAAGCTCCATAAGATCCCAATCACAAAGATGAAAATTCTCAAAATATTCTTCCACATGAGTGAGGAGGGAGGTGATTTTTTCCTACAAAATTTTGTGAAAATTTTCTCCTGCCATTTAGATCCCCATGGGAAACCATAAATTAATAAAAAAAAGTATAAATTATAATAAACTCAAATATTCAATTCTCAAACACACAAATCTTCACCATAAACACTTTAATTCTCGTATTTCTCCTCTCTACTATCTTAATTCCTCCCAATCTCACATCTTTGTTTTATGTGAATCTCTTAATTTGTATTTAGGTTACTTATTTTATTTATTTATTTTTGATAGGCAAAGCTTACTTTATTTTATTTTATTTTATTCATTTTATAGCAAAAAGATACTTAAAAAATAATTAGTTTTTTTAAATGCTTTTGAACCTTTTTTATTTGGGCTAAGAATTGAATGAATTAAAGTATTTTTGAATATAGTCAAACAAAAGAAAAAAAGTTATTTTGTATACTTTTACAATGACTTCCAATACTTGTGAGGACCCCTCGTTCTCCACGAGGAGGGGATGAAAGGTATTTTTTCCTTTCTGTAAAAAATCTTCACAAGAATCTTCGTATTTGTTAATGACAATGACAATGACAAAGATGGAGAGGGAATCCTCACTCCACAAGGACCCGTTGTCATATCTAATCCAATTGAGCTTGCACATACCAAACTAAATTCTTCACCACAATTTTTGGTAGAAAAGTGATGTGCAATCTATCAAATACAAATTAAACACCTTATAATTATTAATAAAAGATAAAACCCTTAATACTAAAATGACTTTTCTCTATTAATAATTATAAAATATGTAATTCACACATAAAACCAATTGCAAAATTGTAAACTCAATTTTTTTTGGCATTGATAAGGAAGGGAATGATGCATGTCGGTAAAGGGCAGTTTTTGGATGTTACGTAAAATGCAAGGATGGCTTAGCTTTATATGAGATTACTGAGGTATGTTGGGTTGGGGGGTGGTGGGGTGTAAGCGTTGAGTCAGGGTCAGAGGCAAATGCACATGGAAGGGAGTGAGTGGGACCCGACCCACAAAACAATTTTTACGCGTTGACGAGTGCTGGACCATTAAAGGATTCGATGAGGTGTACGGGCCCCCACGTCAGATGGATTAAATTACCATTCCTAAGGTTGGGCGGGTTCGGTGCATGGGTCCACATCCAAACCAAAATGATTGACAAAGTAGGCCGATGTTTTAATTCACCTTTGGCCCATCTCCGGTGCGCTGGCCCACTCCACTTCTCTTTGTCAAGGACATCCCCTGCTCTCCATCCTCTCGGTGCTGACTTTTTTTCATTTTTATAAGGAATTTTCTATACATTAAAAATATATTAATTATATTTTTAATTAATTTATATAAAAATAAAATAATAACTTTAATTTAATTAATTAATTAATTAAAAGTACATAGTCATGTGATAATAATGTTAAAATAAAAATTATTTTTTGTAATTTTTACACAAATTAATTGTAAAATAATATATTTTATTACATTCTTCAGGACACTTATTAGATAAATCTTTTTTTTAAAATGAATCTTCAAGAATAAAAATAAAAAGAGTTAATAGCATAAATAACTCAATAATAATATCTTTATAATGAAAATAAGAGATTTTAAATTTAAATCATATAACATATAAATAGAATAAATTAAAAAATAAAAGATAATTATTTTTTTATTATACTACGTAAATTTAAAAAACAAAAGAAAATAAAAGAAATTAATGATAAGAAATTAAGGAAATTTGAGAATTCTTGTTTTTGCGTATTCTACTATTTCAAATCTCAAGCCCCTAATTTGTACATCGTGCATTTTATTTTTTCGGATAGAGAGTACAAG